TATCCTCTTTCAAGTGCTATATTGTGGTTATAGCTAGGCGCTTTCTCCTGATAGTTCCCTTCCCCTCACCCTACGTAGGCGGGGACGCAGCCTCCTGTTAACGGGGTACCGCCCAGAAATCATTCGTTATCCGGCGGCCACTGATCCGGCTTCCAATGATCGAATCCAGGCCTAAACACCTTCCCTGGAGCATGAGGACGGGAAGATTTTCTGGGAGTAGGGACACGAAGAATCAGAAGTCACAAAAGGAGAGGCCACAGCCCACTTTTCAGTACTAAAACCAAATCGTTCTTTGCACGACCCCCAGCACCAGGGTCAACAACCCCTCCCCCCACCTCAGTTCACCGGGACAGTGAGGCACAAGAACTACCCCACCCCGCTCCTCGTCTCCTACTACCACCGCTGCTGCAACCTCCCAATCAGGGCGTCCATAGATTCTACAATAACCTCACCACCAGGTGACCTCAATCTGACAGCACTTCATCCGGGGAAACCAGTTCATCCTGACGCGATGAGGAGGACGCACTTACTCCACAAAAGGGGCAGCCGGAAGCGCCTCCCGAACCGATGGGGACACCTCCACGGCTATAGACTTCTCCTGCTCTCCAGAGCAGAAGACTCGTCCAGGGGATCTGAGACCAGCACCACAACAGGCAATACACTGTGTACCTCCAGCGGCACTAACTGCACCTGTTACGATCACTATGGGTCGCAACCGGGTTCTTTGATGGTAGAACCAAAAATGATAGTATCCGACCCAAAGTCGGTAGTACGCTTTCAAGAAAGTGGCTATGTAGTGCATAAAAAAGGAGGGGATGAACAAAACACTTTCGTCAATGTATTAAATATCTTTCCACCACCATTATGTACACCGTCACCATAAATAATATATAAAGATCAGATAGGCTATTTCTACACCTATGAACAATCCTTTCACTCAGGATATCAAACGTGCTCACGTGCAGAGTTCACCAATCCCCAGTGTTTCTTCACTACCCAGTAGCGTATCCAACCTTACTGGGAAGAACACCGGCGAGTTCACCTGTACGCGGGCCAGCCCACTGACAATGTCCTGAGGTGCCTGTACCCCCACGACCGCTCTCCAGCTACTCGCTGGCAGAGGACCTCAGCCACACGCTGAGTGGGGCCACAATACAGGGGTAGCAATCCCCTGGCAGCAGCCTCTAGCGACCAGCTAGCAGCATTACTCAACAGGCACCTCCCTGTCGTCAGTCTCTCCCCTAAGCCAGTCCCAAAGGTACGCCGATCATTTTCAACACTAAAGCACTAGCAGCTACCACACTGCTTCATCGGTGGCGGCTTACTTGGTCGTTTCCAGAACCATGTAGGAAGACTGTGGACTGCCGAAGATGAACTGCCTCCTCCAGTACCGCTGCCCCCAGACATCACCTCTGTGGACACAAAAACGTCATCAATTACCTTGCCGGTACTGGTGAAACTAGGAATTATCACTAACCCACTGGGGAGTTGACATTGTGCTCTGTAGCACACCCTAGGTGGTGCTGGTCTTGATTCGCCACCTCACCAGAGGTCGCTCACAACGACCCCTCTGGCTGACCAAGGCAAGAATCTTGAGCCATTTACAGGTTTTAGATAGCCACCATCAGATGGCATTGTCCATATTACGTACAATTCCCGGGCAGTTAGGGTGCGGACTCGTAGAAGGCGCTGGAACTGCCACTCTACCCCCTGACAAGGGCGACGAGTCCGTAACAACACCACACAGAGACCAGGGTACGGAACCGCATCCGCACAGTCCGGTCTGGCTACAGGCCCCGAAAGCACAGGGTGCACTACTGGCTCTGCACAAGCCTTAGATATCACGCTCCACCAGATATTCACCAGAGCAACGGCTTCCACAATGCAAGCTGCCGCCAGATGACCTCGTTTACAATTATTATTGTTTTGTGTGCGTAGCTTAGGTAAGATTAGGATTGGGTTTATTCATTTTAGTACTCTGTATTTTGTATTCTGCAGTGAATCAAGAGAACGCTGTGATAATGGGACACAACACTGATTCTATTGAAGAACCTAACTCGCTCTCCTTGTTCTATAGATCTACTAGCAAGACAAGTACACTTGCTCCCGTGTGGTTAGTTGAGGGCGAGGGGGAGAAGGTGGGGGTTTTATGCTTGACGACCGGGCATCTAAGTCCTCCCATACGCCAGTTCCTCCTTACCTCCTTTTAAGAAGTGTGTTACATTTAAGCACCAAATGCTGTGTTGAATCTGGCCGGTTCAGATTCAATATGGTGACTAGTATTATAGACTGTGGGTTGTTGGTGTTGTTGTCGTTGATCCTTCTCTACGGACAACCCAACCCACAACTCGGCAGAGTGCTTTTACTTCACTAGGAGATCACACTAGGCGTTTCTGGCACTTGGAGAGGGGCTCGACGTCACACGTTTAGGGGATGCGGCTCCAACACTTAGCCTCGTTGTCACGTGCACACACCCACTCGAGCCGCTGTGACTCCCCACTCTCTCCTTAGGTGATATGATCTCCTCGATCCCCCTTTGACTTATTAATATTACCTTCTACCCTGTCCACAGCAGTGGTTCTTGGTTCTTTCTCTCTCTCTCTCTCCTTCTTTACTACCTCCTGGGAAGCCTCACTAGGACAAGGGCAAACACCAGCAAATTGTGATACATTTGCTGGACAAAGCACATACACAATACATACACACATATAATAATAATGAATCCTATACTCTATAATATTACAATCAGGTTGCACTCCAACACCATCAGAACTCTATCATCAGCTTATCAAGTGGTATCCTATCTCCTGGTTCACCACCTGATACTATCAACCTCCTCAAGTTGATCAAGTCTACATACACTGTTGCACCATCAGCAAGAGAATATATATATGTACCTATAAATGTGTACCAAGAAAATCAGCATTTGAATGCAATAACATATCAGTATAAATGTTCATTGATACACAACAATGATCAATCGATCACTCTATCAGTCCTAGAACGCATACGTCTGTGGGTAATCCAGCCTACGACTGTAACTCTAAACTTCAGTGTAAAACACTCCTTGACATCAGAATACCAACAATCACTCACCTCTCACTGCGTCTTGCACGTTTCTGACAACCAAACACTATCAACTCCCTACAAGTAATCCACCAGAACTTCCCCTTCCACCTCTGGAAGTTCACTACCCTAATATCTTTAGGTTCTTCCGGGCTTCACTACCAGGATCCTCTGCAGCTTCTCCAGGCTGCTATCATGAAGTTTTCTTGAGCTACTACGGTGCTTCACCCTTCTGCTAGGTTCCTCCACAGCTCTCTTGGCTGCTACACCATGAAGTTTCCTCGAGCAACTATGGTGCTTCTCCACCTCTACAGAAGCACGTGACACTCCTCTTCACTGCTTCTCCTCACAGCTCGAGGTCCTCTGCTTCACTACCTTGGAGTCTCATCAATTACCTCATCTAGGCTGGCTTCGAAGTTCTCAGCAACTTCTTCCCCAAAGACAAACCTGCAACCCATCGACACTCCAATAAAAATGTTCCCCATTAACACATGAACAAAAATAATCACACAATATGCTTGCCTCAAACCTCTATCTGTCCTCTATATACAGTGAGAGTGGACTCCCCCGTTTTGGGCGGGTCCATACTCCACCTCGCCTGGCGGCGGTCCTCACTCGCTGGGAGGGTCTTCCTCCGTCAGGAGCCAGGCTCCCTCAGTCGCCCTCCAGCGCTCAGAGGGGATGGACGTCGCTCCGTGTTCCTCCCTCTCAAATCTCTCTTATTTCAGGCCTTCTGCCTTATTAAAACATGTCTAACTTATAAATAAACATCGCTACTGTCGCTGGGCACACGACCAACTACAAGCAATCACTATGAACTGGCGTATATCGTGCTTACCACAGATCGTCTGGTTGAGGGCGCTTCTTCCTCTGACGAGGCTTGGTCAGGGCGCTCCACGGCCCACAATAATGCCTCTGGCCGGCTTGATACTCTCTTCTTTGACCAGGACTTGAGACCACAACGTTCCCAGCTCAGTTCCACAGCTGGCACGTCTACACACTTCTCTTCTCTTCGAGATATATCACTAGGGGTTCCCTTCTGACGGGAGCTCAACGGAGCGCGGCTTTCTCCCTGCGATGTCTGGCACTCAAGTGAGGTCAAAGCCCCTCCGGAAGCGAGCCTCACGCCTCCAGCAAAATGTCCACATCTCCTAGCCAGTCACTTATCTGTTTTCTTCTTCATTGCCCATAATCCTAAACTGCTCATTGAATCCACCATACCATTTTTCATATGGGTTATCACCTCAATATTTGCTAGACTTTCTAATCAGGTCAGGCTTGATGAATAACTCTCAAGGAGGGAGACTCGTTTCTCCTGTAGGCTGAGATCATAACACTAGTCATGCATGACAAGAAACGATATTATTGCTGCTGATAACGGGGGCCTTATTCTGACACGAGTCAGTTCTGTAAATGTGCTCGGTTTGTATACTCATTACCGCTATTAAGTAGTGATGGAGGTGTTGCTCTATTATATAGTTGGACACGTTTGTTGTTCTGTACTAATCACAAACCATTTTTCTTAAATGAAAATACTTATAATAACTATTTAGAGGAAAGTGCCCATATGTAGTGATAACTAACCAGAAAATTGACACGAATTATTGAATTTGGACAAACCAGAAACGTTTTATTTAACCGCAACATAAATACAAGACCTAACCTAACCTTTCTTAGAAATTCTAGGCTTAATACATGTTATCTTCGCCCTAAGTACAGTATATGTGTGTGTGTGTTATATTAGACCTAGGAATATTTAAGTTTGGTTTTACCTTTATTTTTTTCAGACTAAAAATTAATAGTAGAAAAAGTGGTGTATTGGTGGTCCATCATTATATATTGGTACTTTTCACCAAATGGTTATTACAAACACTATCATTTCAGGAGGATGGGTTGACTATCAATGTCTCATAGCATTTTTTTAAAACCCCCAGGCACCACCCATCAGTAAACTCACAACGGGGGCATGGGCAGCTGCGGAGAGTGATGGCTTCTTCTTCAACTTAACAATGTCTTACCATCACCTCAGCAATATCGTCGTCCCTAGTGGATACCTGCTGCCCCTGGGTATCCCTCACCACTGTCCCCTACAGCCAGCTGTCACGCTAGACAAATCATCAGAAACTTTCATAAGCTACAGTGAACACATGAGAAAATACGACTCCCTGGTGAAGGAAAAGGGCCGTCGACTGGACAAATGGCTCAGAGCTGAGGCAATTCTGCGCCATCACAGCCCTGGACGAACATTTCCAGGCAGAAGCGAGGAAGAAGCTCCGAACATTACAGGAACTACGGCAGCACCCAGTAAGAATGATACGAGCGATGGAGGAAACAAATTGGATTTTAACGGCGACGCAATAAGAGGGAATACGAGACAAAACAGCGACTATGATGATGGCAGCCACAAACACTGGGGATTAACCCAAGAAGAGATAGCGTGGGTTTCAAGGCGTCAGCTGGCAGTGTGGATGGCCAGTCACTGTTTCACGGAGTCCCGTCGAGAGACACTGGTGGCACAGCTCCAGCAGCACATCAATGTTACCACAGTGGGTAGTTGTGGCCAGATCAAGTGTGGCAGGAACCACTTGGACACTCACTGCTTCCGCTGGCTGGCCGGTTCACATCTCTTCTACTTTTCATTTGAGAACGCTCTGTGTGATGACTACCACACCGAGAAGCTCTGGCTCCCACTGGAACACGGAATGGTTCCGGTGGTGTACGGAGGACGTTCCTACCCCGATATTCTCCCATTTGGTTCCTACATAGACGTGATGGCTTTCCCGAGCGCCGTAGCACTGGCCGCTCACCTGGTCTACCTGGCCAACCACCCCACAGTGTATTTGCGGCACCTGCAGTGGCGTAGATATTGGCGAGTGAGATGGCCAGTTCCCTGGTGCAGCCTCTGTGCCCGCCTTCACCAGCCACGCCCACACAGCAGCCACGCCCACGCCACTCTTGACTCATGGTGGAATACCACTTCACAGTGCTACGAACCATTGAAGTGGTGATCTCAGCACCTCGAATGCAGTGCTATATTGACCCTTGTTGTGATTTCTTATTTGGCCTCTCCTGCTGTGATGGTCTTTTATTTGTACAGTCGGCCGTCCTGGTTGATGTTTTTTCATTTTAAACTACATAGGGTACCTATGTAGTTTAAAATAGTGTACCTATGTAGAGTGTAGTTCCACTCAAAGATATGCTGTCCCATGTTTTAGGGGTAATTTTTTCAGTTCCACTCCGAGATATGCTGTCCTATGTTAAGGGCAAAATGTTCAGTCTCGCTCAGAGCTAAGCCGCTACCCTATTCAGGGGTAAATTTTTCCAAGTCCCGTTTCTAGATATACACTCTATACCCGTTTAGGAATAAAGGTCACTGAGTTCCCATGTTCAGAGATTATGAACATTAAGTAATTCCCAGTATCCGATTTTAGTTCTTGGACCCGGTTCGATTTATTTTCAGAATTTTAGTACTCTGCAGTTTTTTGTTTATTAATACATTAGGTACATCTGCATTTGTGCAGCTGCCCTAGACCATATGAAGGGGATTACAGTGTCAAAAAACTAGCTACGTGATGCTAAAAAATCCCCATCACACAGGATGGTTAGTCATACAGTGGCATGTGATAAGTAGTCTGCACTGACAGACTCTGGGTTCGTTATGAGGATCTCATCAACACAAGAGTGAATAAGGTAGCAGTGATACTAAAGCAGTTTTAAAGAGTTTTAATGGAGAAAAACTCTACGGACTTAAGTTTTTTAAACTGATTCCCAGCATCAGGTATTAGTTCTTGGACCCGGGTCTATGCGTTAATAAGTGTAGTTTCGCTACTAGTAGCCCAATTTTAGCCCAATTTAAAACAGTCATATATCAGACATAGTAAGAAAAGCAAAGAAAGTTACCCAGCTCCGGCTCTTGTCCCCACATTAGCTTACTCTTATAACTTTGCTAATAACAGATCCATTCCCTGAAATTTAAAACAGTCATATTTCAGATGTAGTAAAGTAGATCAAAGCAGTTACCGAGTTTCAGCTCTCATTCCCCGCTTTAGTTCATTCGTACAACTTCGCTAATATCAGACCAATTTTCTTAAGATTTAAAACCGCTGTATATATCCCCAGCCCCCCCCCTTATCTTCAACCCCAGCTTCCCGACCCCAAATCTGTCCCCTAACCTCTCGGCCGCACCTTCCTCCCTCCATTTCCCCCAGTCCCTTCCGCTCACTTATCTCCTCTCTTAACCCCCGCTCCCCGTCCTCCTTATCTTCCCCTTCTCTCACCAATACTCTCCTGCCCTTATCTTCCGCCTCCTTTACTCCCTTCTCCCCTGCATCTCACCCCTTCCCCAACTCCACCCAAACCTCCTCCCTCCCCTGAGCCGTCCCCAACTCTACCCTCAAGAATTTGAAATGAAATTATTACTAATACTCTTATTGTATTTTTGTCAATACTTGAGTGTAAATACTTATCATCTCTATACTCTTGGCATGTTCATTATATATTTGTGGGTTCTCTCCATTGTAACGGGGGGTGGGGAAATATGCTCTATCTTGTCCATTATTCCACCCCCCAGTTAGCTAACGAGGCCGGGGGAAACAGCTCTCTCTAGTCCGTTATTCCGTCCTCAGTTAGCTAACTATTCTAGAGCACCTATAGAGTTCCTAAGGCAACCTCTCTCGTTCAACACCTTGTAACCTAGGTATTTGACTACCTAGGTGCTAAGACTACAAGGCGCCGTAACTGGATCAGTTACCCGAAACCCTAGAGAGAACTCTAGAATATATAATCATTGCCACAAACGTATACGAGAAAACGAAAGGAAAGAAATGAATAGTGAAGTAATTAGTGAGGGTTTGGGGTGAGAGGTAGAGAGGTGGGAGGAGCGAGGAGGGTCATTAGTTGAAAGTGAGAGTTTAGAGAGGGGTGGAGGGAGAGGTGTAGATAGGTAGACGTAGAAGAGTAGATAGTAGAAGTAGAAGAGTAGATAGTAGAAGACGAAATGCTGCCACCATCCATTCAAGACCATTACCTACAAGACAAGGAATGGAAATTGTCTGTATTACAATATTCACAAAAGATGTTATCAAGGTCATTATTAGTATGTCCCATCTTTATCATGTACTCAGTAAAATCATGGAACCAGTAATCCCAGAGGCTTTCTCACCTCAACTCAACTCTAGGGGACACAGTTAAAGGCAATGTAGATAATAAATTCAATTATATTTCACATACTAAGTATCATAATTTAAGCAATGTTCAAGATATATATATGTAAAGTGAGTCATTCTCCAAGAATCTGAGAACACTACAACTGACTGCCCCTGATCATCACAACATATGTAAACACGACCAAGTCACCTTAATGTTCAACTCACCAAGTGTCTGCCTATAGCTGGATAGAGGGGGGGGGGGGTCTGTAGTGGACAGAGACTGCCCCGCCCTGCCGGCCGACAGCCTCCCTGCTAGGCCGTCTCCTCTGATCTCCTGGCTGCTGTTCTTCTCTGTTAATCCTCTCGAATCGATAGCTCTCCGAGTATATATTGGGGAACCTAGTAACTAACTCCGCCCACAAGTAGATAGCCTCAGGCTCTCTACCAAGCCACTCCTTAAACGTCGGCATGTTTGAAGGCTACCAGGCTCCAATTATAAGATTAGTAGAAGTAAGGTGAAATTCGCATGATCTGACCTCAGGTCACTTGGTGGTCATTAACTCTTAGAGATGTGAAACTCCGGCCGACAACTTGGCGCCTTCTCAAATTCTTGTCTGACTCATATATCTCTCTGCATTTTAAATACAACTAAACCAAACACCTTACAGTGTTACACCATGCTCTTAAATATTCTCCAAATGTCCATTCCATGTTTGTTGGATGTTCTCTCCATGTTCTAAAAATTTTTCACAGCATATTCTTTGCACACTTCATATGTTCTGACATGTTCTGCAAATGTTCACAGCATATTCTCTGTACAATTTGTTGCACATTATTCATGTTCTCTGCAAGTTCAGTTCATGTTTTTCATCTGTTTCTCAGTATTCTTCGAATTCATTTTTATGTTCTCTACAAATTCCATTCATATTTTTCACATGTTCTCTGAGTTCTTTTTACATTTTCCATGTTCTCAGAATGTTCTTACCTTTTTCTTCAAGTTCGTTGTTCATTCTTCGAATACTCTGTATATGCTTTTTATAGTTTCATGTTCTCTGCAAGTTCAGTTCATGTTCCCCACATGTTCTATGTGATCTTTTCATAGACTTACATGTTCTCTGTTTCCTTAAAATCAAATGTACAATTGTTTCTTCCATTCAGTAAATAGTTCATTGTTATGTATTAGCAACAGCATTACTGTTCCCCTAACAAATTTAGTTTAAATTCATTTAGTTATTAACAAATTATTTGGGCATTTACAAATTTATTTATAAATTATTAATTACAAAGAATTTATCTAGTCATTTACAGAAGTTTATTTGCAATCAACTAGGTCATTGTATTTCTTAATTGACTTAATATTTCTCACCAGCACTGTTCTTAAACAAAACTACACTTTATGCAGTAACAAATTTTGTAAACAATCTTTTCTTAATATTTCTTAACTAAAATCACTCTTCACTCAACTGAAAATAGTCGTGTATCTTCTTTGAATCATTTCGTAACTAAACTAACTCTTCTTTCGTTTCAAAAAAGTCAAAGTAATCTTTCAACACTATTCTTAATTTAAATAACTCTTTTCTCAACTGAAAATAGTCACGTGTAACTTCTTTCAACACTTTCTTAACATTATTCTTCATGGAGTAAGAAAATAGTCCAAAGGTAATTTCTTCATAATATTTCTAAATTAAAACTACTCTCCGAAACATCTTTATCCGTCAAATAATATTCTCATGTCATCTTTATGGTCCAATGACATACTCAAAGACATTAAGAATACAATTCATGCCATCAAAAGTTATTATCAGTGACATCAAAGATAATCTCAAAACACATCAATGTTATACTCAGTCATCAAAGATAATCTCGGCAACATCAAAAATACTCTTCAAACATTAAAAGACTCTCTGTGTTGTACTTAAGAAGGATACACTCTCTTAACATCTTCGTTCATTAAAGAATCTCTCTAAGACATCTTTACACAGCAATAATACGTTCCAAGATAATTTTATTTAACATTTGTATCTTTATAAGACCACCTTTATGCTAAAAATGATTCTCACTTCATCAATAACATGTAATCTTTATAAGAAGGATACTCTCTAGGACTTCTTTGCACATTAAATATAATCTCACTATAACAAACATTGTTCTTCATTCAATAAGTAGTCAAGAGTGTCGTTTTCTATACAGAATTCAAACTATAGTTTGTGTTAAACTTAATAAAACATGGCATTTAGTAGTTACAAACAACTTTAAGTAATATATCAAACTAAACATGTGCAACTTTATGTACTAATAAACTTATACGTCCTGTAAAATTGAGTAAAATAACTATCTTTTATGTAGTAGTAACAGTTTTACTAGGACATTTTAGTCAAAATATTTTAATAACATTTAATGTCACACATTTCTATTATGTCACTCACAAAAACACCTCAGTTCTCTGTAACATAACTATCATTTCTTATTCAGTCACATCCATTATGCACTAGTTTTTTTCTGTCATATATATATTATTATTAGTAAGGCAAACGTTTACCAAAGACATATCTTGTAATGTAACTTGTTTATACAATAACTTTTCGTAATTTTATATCTATGACAAAACTTTCTATCAACTTAATACAAAGGTACTAAGACCAGCATGTTAACAGCATTTTACTATGTTTCACATTTCTGTTGATAATAACTCTCTCACAAAACACGATTCTTTAAGTAACTAGTTCAACTTTTCATAGTAAACTTGCATTTCTGTTTATTAATTATTCTGTTAAAATATATTTTCTTATCCACTTTATCTTAAAACTATTCTGAACAGCAATTCATCATCCTATATAACCTTATTTATCTGAGCTAACCTATCCTAATGTAACTTACCTATCCTCTCCTACCTGATGTAACTTAACATAACTTACACAATGTAATTTCCCTTACCTAACCAACCCTACCTGAGGTAACTTACATATCCCCCTCTACCTGATGTAACTTACATAAGCTAACTTACCTGACATAAATTACCTATCCTGATATAACCTAACTTACATAACTTACTAACTTAACTTACGCAACATAACTTTCATAAAACATCATATTATTCTCCCCAAAACATCAACTCTTAATTTATTTACCCATTCATCACTCTTCTATCACTTGCAGTTACAAACCAGAACTTTTAATACTACACTCACAAAGATATACAGACTTACATCAAATACCTATGGCACATACACCTTTACATAAATTTCATAAATATTTACACAAAATATATATGGTACAATCTCATTACACCTTTACAATTATATTCACAAACTAGCATAAACTTATATAAATTCATATAATCCTGACAAAACCCATACACTCTTACACAAATTTGCAAATACTAATACACATACAGTTTAGTTTATAAAACACGAACTTGCACACACAAACTCCTCCTTATATACGAACATGTAGAAACTTACTCATGTATAATTACATACACAAACTTTTACGACTTAAGCATTCACTCAGTTCACTCACTTTCACAAACAAACACAGACTAGCACATGCACACATGCTCTCAGTTCATTTTAACTTACTTTCTCAAACTTTCACAAGTTCTCTTGTATATACAAATTCTCTCAAACTTGCAAAAAAATTTCATAAACTTAGTCAAACATGCAAATACATTTATGTTCTAACACAAATCATATGCACTCTTAGACAAAGTAGCACAACTCTTAAAAATACTTAGACATTTTGAGAAACTCTTATACATATAATAATTTCAGAACATTACATAAAACTCGTATCCAAATATTTTACCTATTTTATCTTATCTTAGCCCATTCTTATTACTATTTCTCTCTGTTCTGCTTTCAATCTCTAATATTCTTTGTAAAGTGTTGTTAAGCATTCTTCCTCTACATAACCAACAACCCTAACCTAACCTAATATACCCCACCTAACCTTCGTTTATTTTTAATATTTTTCATATTTTCAAATATTTTATAGGAATGTCTATTTACGACATCTAGTCTTTACATACATTCTTAATACATTTAACATTTAATCATTGGTATATATGTCTTCTTCAGGACATTCATATTTATCAATCTGTGTTTCAAATATATTTGTTGCATTTCATAGGATTTTGTTAAAGATCAGGTGTTTAAGCATTATCAAGCGATATTGTTAAAGATGGGTATTTATGCATTTCAAAGGAATTTATATATATATATAAATTTTAAAAAAATACACATTGAAATGTGTATTTTTTGAAATGTGAAATGTGTATTTTTAAAAAATACACATTGAAATGCATAAACACCTATATTATATATATATATATATATATATATATATATATATATATATATATATATATATATATATATATATATATATATATATATATATATATATATATATATATATATATATATATATATATATATAATATAGGTGTTTATACATTTCAATGT